GAAATAGAAAGTGTTCGGTTGCTAGAGGAGCAACAACTTACCATAATAGTAGTACCTACATTGACCCTTTTTTTTTATTTTTAGAAAGAGGACATTGTGACTAATCCAAATACAGATGATTCAAGTGCATAAAGAAAGGAAATACAAAGCCCCAATATAAAGATCTATCTATATCATTGAACAACGATTAAATAAAAGGAGTTGGATTGAGGAGAGATGAAGTAAAAGTTCCTCAAAAGATTTTTTTTTTTTCCTTTTTTTTAAAGAATTAGGAAAACTACAACAAAAAAAATCACAAAAATAAAATAAAAATAAAGACTATCTATAAAGAACGTGAAAGAAGAAAGCACAGATGGCATCTCGCCCAAAGAGAGAGAGAGAGGAATTTGAGTTGCCTTTTGGAACAAAGATAAATCATGCACCCAAAAACCTCCTTCCCTATTCTTTGGGTGCTCCTCACAAAGAATAGAGATGGTCACGCACCCAAAAACCTCCTTCCCTATTCTTTGGGTGCTCCTCACAAAGAATAGAGATGGTCACGCACCCAAAAACTTGAGATGCACGCGCCTAAAAACTGTCTTCATAAAGGTCAGAGTAACAGAAACGTATCTGCTCTTGTCACCAAAGGCAAGAAAGTGAAACTTTTTTCGTTTTCTTATTATTATTATTATTATTATTATTTTATGAAAGAAAATCTTTCTTTGGGGGCATTCTTTTCATAACATATTTAAACCATAAAACATGCTTTCTGATAAGAGATCATCGCAATTTTTTATTTTTTATTTTATTTTTTTTCGTGCGCGGATATAGCTCGAAACGCCTCATGGTAGGCACCAAACTGTTTATAATACAAATCAGAGAGTCTTCAGAGGAAGATCCCTTAGATCTGTACCACAAACTGATTCTAAAAAGTTTGATAAAGAGTGAGACAATGATTTGATAGCAGATCTATTAAAAAACGAATAGATTCGCTCTCAGATCAGTGGTAGAGCCAGCATCGATCCAAAAAGCATGAAATACAATATAAAATGCAATAAAATTCATTTAGTTCTAATAAAAATAAATAAATAAAATATATACAGAAAGAGTACGAAAATACTAGGCCGGACTAGCCCGGGACTCCGGGGGCTTCAAGGCCTTCGTATCATGATACAGAAATACCAGATCGGGCTAGTTGGCCTGGTACTCTTGAGGCTTCAAGGCGTTCGTATCACGACCGGCTAAGTTAATGCCCCGCATCCTCTTTGTCTCTCCCTTTAAGTTTTGACTAGGCTTTGACTTGGTTGAATGGATTTATTGGCAGTCGCCTTAAGCTAGGCTTTTCCTAGGTCTAGGTTTGGTCACGGTTTTATCTCTGGGCTCTCTCTATCTTTCAGTCGGTTTTCTCTCTCTAAGGTTGGTCATCGATTTTCTCTCTCTAGGTTTGGTCACGATTTTCTCTCTGGCTTTCTATCTTTCAGTTTTTTTGAAGGGTTGTAGAATAGATAACTACTAAAACAATGAGATTTGCAAGGTGTAGAGGGATTTGTTAAGTGTAGAATGGATAACTACTAAAAACTATAAAATTTGCTTGGTGTGGATCATAGGATGATGACTATAGATTATGGTGGTCTATGGTTTAGAAGTCTACTGAAATAGTTAAGAAAATCTTGAGGGAGGGTTGTGATTTGAGAGAGAATGTGAGAGGAAATAAAAACTGGATTTTAATGAAGACATAAAAAGGGAAGTAAGAGGGCGGGGCGTGTGGGGGTGGGGAGAGAAAGAGAGGAAGTGAGGCAGGGAAAAAGAGGTCTAGCACTTGAAAGGGCGTAAAAAAAAAAAGGAATATATTAGAAGAAAGAACCTTAAGAGATGTACAGTTTTAAAAAGGATTATACTAGGTCTCTTTATTAAGAAACCCTATTTTGTATATGTTTTGGTTTAATAAACGCTACACTTGTTAGCGTGTGCAATGGTTATAGGGAAATAATTAGTTGAGAAATTTGTAAATATAGATATGATATTGTATCCTACAAGACTATTTATTATGTTATAATTATTTTTACTTATTAAATGTGAAATCCAATGATTGGAATGTGTCACAATATTCGAAAAATTTTATTTTGGACTTTGTGCCTATTAATGACACATACTCAATTGCCCAACTTCACATCCAACAATAAATAATAATTATGACTTCTTTGTATAAAAAATAAATGGTCTCAATCTATACATTTCCTCCTATTTAACATTGGAAAATGGTTTGAAAAGGTTGCAACTCTTTCAAAATAAGTAATGGGTGATTTGCATAGGATTGCAACTTTAAACAATCTAATTAAGGCGCACTTCTAAAATTTTGATATAAAAATTTTTAGGATGGCTTGAGAATTTATTTTCATATCTAATTATACAATTTTAAACTCCAAAAATGGTTCAAATCAAGTAGATCTATAAACACATGAAAATCTATAAAATGGATAGTTTAGTTAATATGTTGCAAGATACACTATTTCTATATTTAAAATATTTTTTCTTTTTATATTCACACATCTAGATGATCAATTAGAGGGTTTTTCAACCTCGGGTGGACTTTTGAGGTGCATATTTAATTCTACATTTTAAGGTCGTAACCTTATATACACTTTTTCCAATAAGTAAAGCTTCAATTTAAAACTCAATATAAATTGTATGGTGACAAAAAACCTTCAAATCGATCATCTTAGCCTTGACCATGATGTAAAAAAAATTAGAATTTCAACCCTAAACAATGTATGTTATAACCAGTGTTTAAAAAAACGCCGAGTCGAATCGGACTCGCCCGGTTAGACTCGGGAATCGCCATGGACGGATCGAATCGGCCAAAAAAATGGGAGTCGTCCGGTTCTAGAGAGAACCGGACGATTCTGTATAGTGACTCGCCGATTCACTGTATGGAATCGGCGAGTCCGTACAGTGAATCGGCGAGTCGCGTACGGGGTTTTTTTTTTTTTTGTTGTAATCCATGATAGATTTTTTTGTAATACTTGATCAATTTTTTTGTAATACTTGATCAATTTTTTTTGTAATCCATAATTGAATTGTTTTTTTTTTTTGTAATCCATGATCGAATTTTTTGTTTTTTTTTTTTTGTAACCCATGATATAATTTTTTGTAATCCATGATCGAAATGTTTGTTTTTTTTTCTTATAACCCATGATTGAATTTTTTTTTTTTTTTGTAACCAATGATAGAATA